AGCATGTTGATTGAGTAGTTTATGATGGCGCATAATAGAGATGAACAAGGGAAAAAAAATTGTAAGGAGCAGCTACTCAGAAGACATAGATCCACTGTCTCTTCATTGATCCGACCACCTTGGGATGGTCCTTGTCACTAATCAGCTCACAATGAGTTCCTTCTCCATAATTGGTGGGAAATTTCAAAGCATAATGAAAGATCGAGATAGCTGCACGAAGTTTATATAGAGCTGTCCTTCAACAATGGCATTATATTCGTTTTTGAGATCCATCACCTTAAACGTCTCCATAATGACTTTTGAAGCTTGTCCGGGAATTCCAAACCGAATTGGCATAGTAATTTCACCAATGGTCGATGTAATCATGCCATTAAAACCTTGTACTTGATCTTTGCAGGGTTTCAATTCAGCTGGATCGATCCCCATTTGTTCGAACGTGCGTAGCATTAAAGTGCTTGAATATGCTCCCGTATCTACCAGTATGCGATGTACTGGTATCCCACAAATAGGTGCTGTTATTACTAGAGGATCAGCATGTGGGTGAGCGAAATAGCTAGCATCATCCACACTGAATGTTATTGGACAATTATTTCGAGCATTAATTTTATCTCGGAGGTCAGTTGCCAAAACAGTTTTACCCGAATTATAAGCTTTTCGAGCATATGCCTTCACTTTTCGTCGTGATTCAAACAACGTATTGCTACTGTTATTGACTCGGGTAACATGATGAGAATCATCAGGATTAGAGTATCCTCCTCGTTGAATCGTTTCGGTATTTTTCAACGAATTATTTTCTTTCGAGCTCATCATGAATACTTCTTTATCACTTGGCCTCACCCGCTTTGGATTGATTGGATGACCATCATCTTCATCATCATCTGGTAGGTCTAACAATCTGCCCTTTCGTTTATAATCAGCATTTTTGGCAAACCTCTGGACTTGAGGATGTCCAATGAGTCGTAATAAGGCAGAAAGCAAACCAAGACATTCATCAGTATCATGATCTGCCGACTTGTGATATGAACAATATTTCGTCTTATCAAGTCTTTCTTCTGGAGTTCTCACAGGTCGAGGATCAGGAAGGATTCCTTTCCCTTTCAATTCTTCAAATATAGTTGCTGCTCCTGCTGAGAAAACTGTCTGATAACTAGATTTGACTTTGTTAAGATATTTGGTTCTAGCTTCTTGCACCTCAGGCAACTTAGGATTCCCAAATCGAGATTTATTTTGTTTGAAGAATTTATTTTTCTTCTTTTTTGATTCTTGTCCGACTTCCGACTTTTGCGAAGAAAAGTCGATGGCAGGAATCGACATCGATTCTTCAGCTATAATATGTTGTTGAGCTCGAGCTAGAAAATCTTGAAATGACGTCGGTTTATTCTGATAAATACTCCAACGGAACAAAGAATTTGGCTTCAATCCGACTATGGCCGTGACTAGCAACGTTTCAGGATGACATTGTTCCATATTTTGTATTCGTTCATTAAACCGAGCAATATAATCTTTTACGCTCTCATTGTCCTTTTGAACGATATTGGCAATAGATTCCTTCGGGATTAAAGATACCCGAGCCCCGATGAAATGAGATCGAAAAGCTGTTCTCAATTGTTGCCATTTTGATATTGAACATCGGGGTAAAGAGTGGTACCACTTTTGAGCGCGAGGTCCCAAAGTTAAAGAAAACATCCGACATCTAAGCGCATTAGTGGCCCCGTGGAGATCCATCCATGAAGTGTATTGACCAAGATGAGCATCAGGATCAGAGGTACCGTCATATAAACCGATTTGGGGGACCTTAACTTTGACAGGAAGAGGTTCTCTGGTTAAATGAGGGGCCAAGGGAGTCTCAGCCTCTTGATACACCTCTTCCGTCATAGGAATTTGACGTTGAGATTCCTCATGATCGTCTTGTCGAGTTTCTAACTCAGCAATTCTCTTTCTTAACATCTCCAACTCCTCCGACTCACGTCTTAAACGATTCCTTTCGATAACACGACGTAACTCATCATGCTCACGTCGGATGCGATTTCGTTCAAGGGTACGTCGCAAATCAGATGGTTGACCATGCTGTAAAGTTTCCGGCAACGAGGGTGCCGGCTGCTGCAGTCGACGTCCAGAATGACTTTCAGCAGTAACTTCTGGTTGAGCTGCTTCTGGAATATGATTTTGAATAGGAACTACTCCACGATTATGAGTCTCAGGTATTTGTGGATGGGAAGTCGCGTGTGATGCAGCAGGAATATTATTTTGCTGTTGAACAGGTGAAGGATGAGTTCGATTATGAGCTGCTGTAGTTGGTTCTGTTCTTGTTTGTGCCATAAAATTAGTTAAATTTCTCAAGAACTCTGGATCTTGAAATAAAGCAGAATAATTTATTGGCATAGATGGCACAGTTGAATTTTCAGTTGTGTAAGCAGGGTGACGATTGATTCCAACATCTGGATTACGTTCGTGTCACCCAGAACTTGACATGATTATTGCGTATGTTTATAAGTAAATGTTACATAAAACACACAACAGATCGAAGGTTCGAACCCTTCCTCTAGCGCCAAACTGTTGTTGTATGGAATTAACAACTTGAAATTACAAACAGCTGGGTGTGTTTGAACAAAGATTAATGTAAAGTTAGATTTTATTGGTATATTCACAAGAGTACAGGAAGTCGGTTTTTTTGTTCTCAACCGAGATCATTTGAAGTTCTTGTACAATGTGTCAGAAAAGATCCTCGTACTATCATAAATTCTGCTATTTATAGTACGGTAGTTTTTGTCTTCTTGCTAGAGATGGATAAGAATGTATTTAATGTTGAGCAGCTTCAACAAAGTGATGTGTTTTCGAATTAGGGAACACCAATGATTGCTCTATTATCTTGACGATCCAATCACGTGCTTACAACTCTGTCTTTTGCTTGGATGTTCGAACTTTCAGACCGTCGATTTAAACAGATAAAGCTTGATTCGACTTGTCATAATATTAGTTGAACTAAAGTCGGTTATTTGCATCTACCTCAATAGTCGGTACCTTTAATGATCTCGGAAGTCGGTAATTATTTCAGAAAATTCCGACTGGGCTTAAGTTTGTTCCTTCTTGGAGGTTTATTTTACTGAATCAACTAATCACTGACTTTAATTCTTCATAACCAAATCAAAACCAAGTCGGTTATCAACACAAGGCATATTCAATTATACTGAAAGTGGAAAAACGAAAAAGCTAGGTGACAGGAATGTTTAATCCCTTGGAAAGTTCAACCATGTTAGTAAGGGAAGCTATGGTAGAGGCATATGGTTTGGTCGTGGAAATTGTGAGAGGATCGACAGGACAAGCTATAACAATGGGGAAGATGTAGAGGTTCACAAAGATTTTCAAAAGAAGAGAGGTCAAAATTGTTTTGTAGTCACTGTGGTTCTAATGGGCATGAGATACAAGGGTGTTTCAAGTTGAATGGGTGCCCGAATTGGTACAAAGAATTGAAACAACAAAGGCAAGGTCGGAATGTGAATATGGTTGACGATGAAGACTTGTTAAAGAGAGATTCTGAAGTAAAATCACAGCATAGTGATTCTTTGCCAGATATAAGCTCATTGATCCAAAATGAAGTAGCCAAATACCTCTCAGGTCAGCACGATGCAGAAACACACTTTTTCACATCTTGTTGTATATTCAAATGATAGAGAAGACTATGCTTTTTCATTGTTTAACAAATTAAGCAAAAAGAGTTGGATCATTGACACTAGGGCCATAAGCGTATTTGCTCAAACATTAATATGCTATGTCACAGTAGTCATAGCTGTGGGACAAGTATGTTGCGCGTGTCTTTTTCGTCTTCCTATGTTTTGTACTAGACTTTTCTGTGAACCCGAAGCTCTTTATTATGGCGATATGAAAATTCTAAAAAATACTTGTATAGATAAAATATTACATGATTAATCATTTCTTCAAAAAAATAAAAAAAAAAAGGCAACATGATATGATGAATGAATATTGTTGTTTTATTTAAAAAAAATAATCAATTTTTATTTATTATTCAGTTGCACCTAATATTCTTTATTCTCTCATTGATAAATGAGAGCATAAAACAGTGGTGGGTGAAGCAGAATAAATGATGGTGGGAGATAGGGTGTTCACGGTCCGCTTTTAACCGAAAAAGACCGTCAATTCGGACCGCAGATCGGTTAAATGGTCAGTTAAAAAAGCCTTAAGAAATCCGGTGGTTAATTTTTTTAAAAATCCAGAATAACCAGTCCGGTTAACGGATTACCTGCGGCAAACCGCCGGTTTAACCAGACCGGACCGGTAAATATTAAAAAACTATAACAAATATATATATACATTCAGTCATTCACTATGACCGACAAATACGATACATTCACTATGAATGCTTTGCTCTTATTATTTCAGGTATATAAATTGACTGAAAAATGAATGCTTGCTTGGGTTCAGTTTGCATAATTTAATCTTTATCATTTCTGTATTTTTATGTTATGGGACGAAATGTGTATTTTTATGCTTATGGGACTGTGTATTTTTTATTTCATTATTGTTGTTTTTCTTAATTTTTAGGCCCAAATAATCTCTTTCGGGCCTAAAATTGAAAAACAAAAATTAAGCCCAAAATGAAAAATAATAAAAATTGAAGGCCCAAAACAAGGATTTTGGATTTAACCGGTTAACTGCTAAACCAGACCGTCCAATGCGGTCCAAATTGGGGTTGGTTAAAAAATAAAACCGGTCCAGTTATGAACAAGAAAAAAAATTAACCGTTAAGTTCGATTTGGTCATGGTTTAAGCTAAAACCGGACCAATCCGGATCCTAAACACCCCTAATGGGAGAGCGTAAAGTAGATCCAAAATCGTGGCGGATCTCATCACATGACTTGACATGAACATAATTTCCATCGGCCCATTTTCAATTCACAATTGCAAAGCCCACAAACCCCTTAATACCCATCTCCGTTTGCACACGCACTCTAACTCTTCCTTCCCCCAACGTAACGAGAAAACTGCAATGAAATATTTTAACGGAACCCCAAACTCAATCAATCTAAAAAAATCAGTGAGACCAAACCAAACCCCCCCGACGTAACGTAACGCAGTTTGAAGTTTGAACCAATTAAAATGGCCCTCTGCCGAAATCAATGCCACGCGCCCCACCGCCGATTACCTCTTTTGTTCACGCCAAATACCGTCTTCCCCACGCGCTTTCGCCATCCGGCGCCCTTGCCGCACCTTTGTTTTATTCACCCCACCCACTCCCCTTTCTTTTCTCTCTCGCCCCATTCTTATCTCTTCTTCTTTCTTTCCCTTTCGTCTGATTTCGTCTGATTTCTGACGTTTAATCCCTAATTTTTTCCCCCATTCATGGGCGATTTGACGGAATCATCGACTCCTCAGCCGGCGCCGCCGGCCAAGCAACCCCCTTTCCGCGAGGACTGCTGGTCGGAGGAGGCCACATGGACTCTGGTCGACACCTGGGGCCGCCGCTACCTAGAGCTCAACCGTGGAAATCTCCGCGGCAAGGACTGGCAGGAGGTCGCCGACGCCGTCAACTCCCTCCACGGCCACACCAAAAAGACCCGCCGCACCGACGTCCAGTGCAAAAACCGGATCGACACTCTGAAGAAGAAGTACAAGGTCGAGAAGGCCAAGATCTCGGATTCCACCGCCTCCACCTGGCCCTTCTTCTCCCGCCTCGACTTTCTCATCGGATCTGCTAACGCCAACAAACAACACAGCAGGCCCGCTCCGCCGGCAGCGTCGCCGGTTCAGATGCCGCTGTTGATGCCTCCTCCGCCGCCCCTGGGCCTCCCCTCGCCACCAATGGCGGTGCCCATTCCCTTCCGCAAGCCGCTGACTCCCGCCATGGTCACGCCGGTGGTTCTGCCTCAGAAGCGTCCGGCTGTGGATGAGTCCTTCTTCAGGAGGAATTACTCGGCCATGGCGGCGGCAGCGGCGGCGGCCGCCACTGAAGAGGCTGAGGAAGACGATGAGGAATCCGAAGGGGAGGGAAGTGGTGGTCGAGCGGCGGAGGAGGTGGAAGAAGGGGAAGATGGCGTGAGGAGGTTGGCAAAGGCCATTGAGAGGTTTGGTGAGATATACGAGAAGGTGGAGAACATGAAGCAGAGGCAGATGGTGGAGCTGGAGAAACAGAGGATGCAGTTTGCTAAGGATTTGGAGGTTCAGAGGATGAGGTTGTTTATGGATACGCAGGTTCAGCTCGAGAAGCTTAAGCAGGCTAAACGGTCGGGAGCTTCAGGTGGTTTTATTCACATTTTTTTTTTTTTTTTCTTATGAAATGCATCAAGATTTGGTCTTTTGGTATTATGTGCAACGGTTTTATGTGTTGATTATCACTTGCAGAGACCAAAGGAATTGCATTTGGGTGGAATTTTTGTAGTATAAGGATATGTATGATAAGTTAGTTGATTGTTCATAAGTTAGTTTCGAACTGATAGTTGATACCTTATGGATGATGACTTGAAAACTAGCTAATATAATAAAAATGTTTGATATGGTTAGCATCTAAAAGAAAAATACTCTCTCCGAACGCTACGTAAAGAAATATCTAAGATAAGCTTGAGTTTTTTTTTAAGGTTCATCCTACCGTTCCTACAAAACCAAATTTATTTAAATAGAAGAAACTTATAAGCTAACTTATCAAGTTGTAAATTAACTTATGATGCGTACCAAGCACCTCTAAGTTGATATTTTTAATTGTTGTTCATGTATTCTGTTTAATTAGATGGAATTTGGTTTTTGGGTTTCAGAACACTGAATGCCTTTCTATGTCATTTGGTTTACCTGTTTTATTTGATTCTTATAAATAAAAGGAAGTAATTCTTGTTAGCGGATAAAAATATGTGAATGAAGGGTGTGACGTGTTGCCTTGTATGTATAGAGTTAGGATTCGGAGGAGGAAATAAAAGGGCACCGTATGATAGACAGCATTTCTTCAAATAAAGGTCAAGATTTTGAATATTAATGTAAGTTAGTTAGGGTCCCATAGATTCTTTGAGCATAAATGATTTGGTTTTTATCTTCATTTCCAATGGACAAGTTGGTGCATAGTTTGGGATATCTTTTGGATTTCGTAAATGTTGTGCAGTTCCATTCTCTGATAACTAAGCTAAGTTACGTTTATTTGCACTGCTATATCTGATTGTGACATCGTGTATATATACATGTCTCAGTAACCTCACTTCCTAAATTGTTTATGAAAGTTCTTGGGGTTAGTAAAATTTTTTTCGAGCATTTCTTTTGCTTCTTTGTCAAATGGACCCAAATGGTACCTAATAGTTGTAATACATGAATCATTATTAGCCTGATGGATCATCTAACAGACAGTTACCATCATTATGATCCATCACATGCTTTTAGTTTTGGTTATTACCCTTTCTTGATTTTGTGTTTTGTTTGAATAATGCAGATATCTTTAGCTAATAGTAGTTAACGAGAACTTGGAGTTTGGAGCGCACTCGAATAGATTTGCTCTTGTTGATATAGTTGAAGGTTTCGTACCTAAGAAGAGCTGGGAAAGGATAAGTTTATCAGCTCAGGAGGATTCAAGTTCATCTGTTTTCGTACCTAAGAACAACTATTTAGATTTTCTGTTGTGTAGTTATCTATTAGTTGAAGAATCTTATTTTCATTTCTTATGTTTAGCGGTATTTTTTTTTCTCGTCTTTTGAATGTCTAGAATCTCTTAATTGTTGCCAAAACGTGGTGTTCGGCTCAAGTATGGCTTGATTTTTCAGAAATGAATATTGCTATTGTTGCTTTTCTTATTTCGTAGGTGAAACGTGAAAGGTCCATTTTCTACATTTTTTTTTTTTTTCGGTTTTTCTACTCTGGCTTGAAAATGCTTGATTTTTTAATATTGGCTTGTGGATTTTAAATTGGGGGGTTTCTGAAAAAGTTCCTATGAGCATATACAATGTGGTTTTTGACATTATAAAAAGTTATTCACATCATCAACTTTTGATAATGTATTGCTAATTTATTCTTTAATGTATTTTGTCATGAACTCTTTCGTGATGAGCTGGATGACATTTAATACTGATAATGTTGAACAACTTTCTAATATCTAACATCATGTTAAACATAATGATTCATCAATTCACTTTATATTTAGTTTAATTTTTTATTGTTATTGTATTAATGAATTATTTTAATTTGTCTACATATACAAATAATTTTTTATTAAATTGATGCATTGAATATACAAATTTGATTCAATTTTTAAGTCTTTTAATATTATTTATTTGTGGATTAACATTCTACTAATTGATTGACATGCAATCATTGTTTTTCAAAGTCACACCACTGTAGATGCTCTGAGATCATGCTCTACATGGATGGGCACATTAACAAAGTTGTGGGCCGAAAGTGAAAGACATGCATGTCCTCCTAGATAAAAATAGAAAAAATTACGCTATGGCCGAGCACAATCTAAAATTATTGCATGTATACTATTATTATATTTTATTCGCAAAAGTATATTCACTCCACAAAATATTTGCACATCCATTGAATATGTACTTTTGCACTCCACAAAATATTTGCACATCCATTGAATATACACATAGTTATATTATGTTTTTAAACAATTTAATTGAGGTAGGTTGAGTTTTTTTTTTTTTTTTTTANACCTTTTTTTACATCTCTTTGCCAGAAAAAATATAACATCAACACGTCACGTGCAAACTTTTTGTCTTTCTCCATTCGATTCTCTTTGACGCCATAGTTCCTAATCTTAAGCATTTCTTTCTTTCCCCATATCTTCTTCAACGAGAAATAATACCACAGAAAATGGCGAAAATCGCCCCCCAACGTCAGAAACAGCCATCCTCTCAGTGAAGGAGATGCCCCACAAACGAAATCCAATTCTCTTCTCCGCAACAGTAAACCTAAAGTTGACCGAAACTTTTGCAGACGAAGTTTCACTTCCATAACAAATCCAAGTTTAGTGGGTCAAAGAAACGATCGGTGCAAACCTTTCTGGCGACATCAATGAAATGCCCCGCCAAAGAAATAAATACGGCGGGTGAAAAAGTCCAACATTTTTACAAATGAAAATCCCGATCAAGATTTTGATTTTTGTTGTTCTTGATCGTCTGAGTAACATAAAATCGATTGGTTTAGCTCAGTTAAAAATTGATATATATTGTACAAAATTATTATTGTAAAAATAAAGTTTACATTTCGTTTATTTTAATGTTATTGTATGCATCTAAAAACCTGTTGAAATCTAAAAAAATAAAAGTGTAATGCGGTCATCTAGAGACGATAGTAAGTTTGAATATACCTTTTATATGTTTGTGTACTTGTTAAACTTCCAGAAATTGAATTCTACTTTTTATGATGAGATTATTATTTGAGATAAGAAGTTTAAGTCGGACGCAAATGTGTTTGACGGATAGTTTTTTTATGTGATAATCATTTTGATTTATTGGTTATATGTGCCATGTTATAAACTTGAAAAAACCATGTAATGTATTGTCGGAATTCTCATAAAAACATGTTATTAACCTGAAAAATAAACTGTATATATAATTTTCATATAAGACGTGTATAAATTTCTTATACCATTATGAAATTTTAGATGGTATTGTACAACTCTTAAAATATATAAATTTTATATAATTTTTAAAACACAGCATGCAGAAGTAAACATATTCTATACCACATATATAAACTTGTTATATGATGATTCATGCACATAACGTAACCCATATATAAGCTATTTATGAACCTCATATAAACTTGAAAAACAAAGTATTTCATTCAGCTGGGACAGATTCATAGGAAATTTACGTTAACACAAAGCAGTTATTAGTTTTTTCCAATTCTAATTAGCCAGTAAAATTATTCTAGCAATACAAACTAAACCAAATTAAAGGAAACAAAATACGAAGAGTCGTGGTCCTTGTGGAAGTTAAACCCCCCCCCTTCCCAACATCCCACTTTCACTTGTTTATCCATTAAAAAAATAAAAATAAAATAACAAACTCCATTCATCAGACAACAATTACATACAACAATTACAGAAACAAAAGAGTTCAAATTAATCGAAAGGCAATCATTTCAAATTTTACATCCATAAATAATTGTTTATTCCTACAGTTCAGCTAACTTCCTCCATAAATAATAGGAATAGCTAACTTCCCTTAAGAGATGTACGAACAGTTGCATCTTATCTTATATGTTTGGAAAAAAAAAAAGTTGAACAGACAGTTTGGTAAAATATATAAATAATACCTGTAGGTGGAGTCATTTCCTCGAAATTCATCATAGGCCTGGGCTGGGCTAAAGCCTAGGCACATTTTTTCTTTCTTTCTTTTACATCTGTTAACTTAAATTTATTTTTTTAATTTTTTAACTCTAAGCCAGCCCAACCAAAACAATAATAAACAATCAGGCCCAATCTTCCAATCCAAACTGACATTTATATGCCACGGCCGAAGTCCAACACTCCAACTTAATCTTGCAAGCATGTTATACTCATATATCTATATATAAAAAGGTTGTTGGTTAAATCTTTTTTGAAAACTTTTGACCAAATAAATAATACATTTGACATTCTACTTATAGAAAGCTTGAAAATAATAATGGTGTAGTTTTTTTTTAAAGAAAAATGACAGTTTGAATTCAAAATTAATGGTGTAGAGATAATATTGGAACAATAATATATGGATAACTCACTTGATGGAATCTGTGGATAACTAACTACTAACCTAAAAAAATTTTGATAAATCTTCACCAAAAATTTAGTTGATAAATCTGTTGATAACTAAACTATTAATCTAAAAAGATTTTGAAATGGCTAAGCTTATGTATTAATATTGCAACCCAAAGAAAAAAAAAGCATAAGTGAGCCCATTTATTTTTTATAATAAAATAAAGAGATATTACGAAATATAATTTTTTTTTTAATTTGATGGATAATATCAAATCATTCCAAATTTTAATAATGTATGTGAATATCATTTCAAATATTTAGATAATATCATTCTAAGCCTCCAATCATCTAATATTGAGATATTTTTTTCACCTATAATTAACACTCAATTTGCCTATAAAAATAACATACACACTCTGAGTTGTTATTGTATCCCTACTCATAAAAAAAATGAAGCAAAACATAAAGAACAAATAGATATTCTGTATTGATAAGAAATCATGAGGATTCATCAAGCAAAACATAATGAAAACTCTACGCAATCCAACTCTTTTAAAGGATAAATATATCTTTTTCGAACAAAAAGATATTGAAAAATGATATTTTTGTTATTATGAGGTATTGAATTTTATGGGTATGAAAGTCGAATTTTAGGTTGATTTGTTATAAAATTAAGGTAATATGTTTCTCAAATTTTAGCATATTTCTATAATAACTTGCCATAAAATATTAATGATAATTTGACAAAATAGTATGTATTCCTCTTGAAAATCATAAACATCTTTGACAAATATTGGTTAATAAAATTTAAAAATTAACCGACAACAACTCTAGAAAATTGTGAGATAATATGCATATAAGGGAATTTATATATAAGGGAATATATATATATATATATATATATATATATATCGTATAGTTCAAATTTGGGTTTCAAATTTAAAAGTCAAATAAATAATTATTCATAATTTACGTGCCAATATTAACTTAGACATAAATGAAATAGTCAATTAATTATAGTTTGATAAATTACTCAACAACTTAAATTTTTTTATTTTGATAGTTTATACAAAATTAAATTCATTTTAATTAATGAACACTATAAGTTTTATAATTGTACTTATTATTCACATTGATTTTTAAATATATGATAAAATTTTACCAAAAGAATTATTTTATGGAATCACATTGTAGTCCAGTCGAATTTCTGAATAAATATTTTAAAATGACACTTATTTTAAAATAAATATAATGTAATTTATTATCAGTTACGTGCACCATACGGGTTGTATACTAATTAAATTGACATGTTTTATGTAATTTTGCACGATATAAAATTTATATAATATTCGCAATAAATTAATATAGGTAAATGTATTACATATTGATTCAATATTTTAAATTTATAAATATTATCTAATAATCATTTTTAATTTATAAATACTAATGAATATCTCTTACCCGTGCATCGCACGGGATTCGTACTAGTTCACATAATAACCTTACGCAAGAGAAAAACAGGGCGCCTATTCCCTTGTTGACTTCTGCATTATCTACCTATGACCTCAGCGGATTGCGTTCACCGGTAGTTGAATTCCGCCGTCAACTCATCGACGACGTCCATCCACCACTCGACCCTCTAATTTAGAAGGTACCCAAAAAAAAAAAATCTTTACAAACCCTAGATTACTCATGACTAGATTATGTACTGTCATTTTGCACATTGCGTGAATCGTGAATTTGAGTCCGATTTCTATTTTTTACACTTCTGATAGCTATTGCTATATTTTTTGTACTATACATGTTTTTTTGTCTTTTTTTTTTTCCATGTTCTGTAAGTTAATTTTGTTGGATTAGTTTTTTTATTTTTATTTTTTTATTTTGTTGAATTAGTTGTCTTATTAAGTTCATGGGACACTTGCTTGCAAAGGGAGCGAAAAAAATGGTGTAATGAGGTTTGATTAGTGTGCAAGATCCATGATTTAGTGCTTGGGGGATTTTCTAGAGAAGAAAAGAGAAATTTGAAGGATTTCTCATTTCTTGTAATCTTGTTTTTTATGGTCTTATAGGGGATTTTCTTTTACAGATTTTGTACTTTTGGTTTTGATAGATAATTTATTTGTTG